TTTCCTTCTTTCTTTTCTTTCTTTTTTCTTTCTTTTCTTTCTTTCTTTTCTTTCTTTCTTTCTTTCAATTTATTTTTTTTTAACTTTTAACACGTTTTTATTCAAGTTTCTCGAATGCTTCTTTCTTTCATTATTTTTGTTTGTTTGTTTGTTTGTTTGTTTGTTTGTTTCTTTCTTTCTTTCTTTCTGTCCATTTATTTTAACTTTTAACACACTCAAGTTTCCAGAGTTATTCTTTCTTTCGTTTACTAAGATCAATGAGAGTTGTTTTTCATAATTCCCTCCCTTGTTTTGATTTGTCCCGGTGTTCCTTCCTTCCTTCCCTCCTTCCTTCCCTCCCTCCTTCCTTCCTTTCATTCATTACTTCCGGCGATCACATTCTGTGTACATGAGTGACTTTACGGTTAAGCAATACATTGTAGGATCTCTACTCAAAAAATGAATTAATAAAATCCTTATTCTTACGAAATTACGATTTTAAACAGAAAAAAGAATTCCTTATTTTAAAAGTTAAAGTTAATTCATTTGTTTATTTTATTGCTTGATTTTTTTTATTTTCATTATTTGTTTTATTTAAAATTACTTTTTTCTTTCTTTTTTCTTCTTTTTTTCTTTTTTTCTTTCTTTCTTTTTTCTTTTGCCAAACATTTGTTTATATATTTATTCATTTAATATATATTCATTTTTTTTTCATTTTCTTTGAAATTCCTTTATTTTGCGTTTTCTTTTTTCTTCTTCTTCTTCACACTTTTTCACTCTCTCTTTCTTTCTCTCTCTCTCTCTCTCATTCATTGAAATCTTTTGGGGGGTTTTGTTCAACACAACTTACCTATAGGAATCCTGTCATTCGATGCCACATTGTCGGTTTCATTGGCAGTGTAGCACGTGAAGGCCGATGCGATCACGCTGATGACGATAAAGACGGCGGCTATCCCGTTTGTCATGTAGCGAAAGAGCACCATTGTTCCCGCTATTGTCTCCTTTACCGATCATCCATACGGAACGATCTTTATCTCATGGAAGAAAACGGCGGGAACGCCATATTTGATTTGATGTTATTATTGTTGTTTCTTTTGTAGTTGTGTGTGGTTGTTGCTTTTTTTTTTTCTTCTTTTTTTTCTTTTTCTTATTTTTTGTTGTTTTGTGTTGTATCTTTTGTTATGTATTCGTTGATATTGTTGAATGTTACTTTTTATTTATATATCTTTTTTTTTCACTTTTTTCATCCATATTTTTTTGTTGTTTTGTTTCTTTTATTATACCATTTTTTTTTTCAACTTTTTTCGTTAATCTTCTTTTCTTTTTTAATTTCTTTCTACAAAATTTTCTCTTTGTATATGTATAATTTTTCAACAATTTTTTTTTTGTTTACTTTCTTAAAATTCACTTGTTGGGTGTGTGTGTGTGTACATATTTATTTTATGTATCTTTTTTTTTTAAATATATATTTTAGGTGTGTATGATTTGCTTTGTAATAACATTTAAAGGATGTTGCTTTCCTTTGTCTTTTTCATTTGAAATTAATTTTCTTCTTTTAGCCTACATTTCTATTTCTGTATTTGAATATTTTTGTAGGCGAGAAAAGAAGATGTAATTTCTTCACACAGCACACTACAGACGTCACACGACAATGTAGCAACCAATTTTACCAACTTGTCAAGCCGCTGAAATGGTCAAATTGATAAGATGACCAGCGTTCAAAATGTCGAAAAAGGACTAAGTGATTTTATCTAAAAAAAAAAAAAATGAAAAAAAAAAACAAATGAAAAAAAAACAACAAAAAACGAAAAAATAAAGCTATTAAAAAAGAATTATCTCACCTCCCCGTCCAAATAAATACACATGCGAACCCACTGATCGAAATGATAACGAATGTTCTTCTTACAGAGATCTATCAGCTATATTAAAAAATGTTACTTCTTACTTAAGGCATATATCTCTATATACCGACTGTTTTTTCTCATTTAGCCAAAATAAAACCATCCAGGTTTTGTTTTCTTATGACTAGCAAAGCTATTGAGACCATGAAGAAATAATTTTAAAGGAAATAATACAAAAATATATACCTAGAGAATTTAGAAATATTTATTCTATATACTTTTTATTCGTTTTATTCAAGAAAGATTATATATATATATATATATATAAATATATATATATATATTAATTGATAGCTCTAATGTCTTGAAATAGATATATTTTATGTAATTTCTTCCTCTTTCACTGACAGCTGTTTTCCATGTGAGTAAAATCTAGCATTCGAAAATATTCTTATATATAGATATAAATATATGTATGTATATATGGTGAAATTCTAGAGGAACACGCTTTGAAAGTTGTCTATTGAGATAGATGCAAACAAGCAGTTGTTCTTTTAACGCCTGCTGTAAATACCTATAGAGACCTTTTATTTTATTTTTTTTATTAGTTTCTTGTCAATAATAAATTGTCACACATACATGCATTCATTCATACATACATACATATATAATTATATGTATTGATAGATAGATATAAAGACAGTTATGTATATATATAAATGAACATATACTATAAAGTATTTGTTTTTGATTTGTTAACTTAAACTAATAATGGATAATGTATCTTCTACCTGTGCTTTCGAGAAAAAGTAATTTAATCTAATGATATTCAAATATTTGTTTTTAAAAAATACAAATTTCTTAATCTGTTTATTAATTGGGAATAATCTAATAAAAAAATGTAGCTAGATTTTAAGAAGTTAAAATTTAGTAGAAATAAAATAATAAAAAGCTCAATTTATTTTTTAAAAATGCACCCTTGTATTATTATAATAAATTAAAGTAAATTTAAAAATTTATATTTTCAAAATATACACATTTATTTACTTCCTAAATTCCCATAGTAAAAGTACACACGCATGCACATACATTTTATATATATATATATATATATATATATATATATATATATATATATATATATATATATATATATATATTTGTATTTATATAGTGCACCTATATATATATATATATATATATATATATATATATATATATATAACTTTATTGCTAATGAGAGACTAGATATGTTTAATGTAAGCTAAATGTACTTCTAGTTACTTGCGGTTATTCCTCTGATAATAGATGGTACAATATTTTACGTTCCCAGGAATTTTGCTTGTTTGTGTATTTAGATGTAGATTTTAATGTAAGAATATATATATATATATATATATATATATATATATATATATATATATATATATATATATATGTAAATATATACGTATATATAAATATATATATATATATATATATATATATATATATATATATACTTTTTTAAAATTTCTGTACGATATGTGTCTAAAATCGGTGTGTTATAGAAGAAGTTGAAAAATGAAGATGGAACTTTAATACAAATACAGTTTCAAATGAAAAGAAATAGCTTTGTTATGCTTCATGAAGTAGATTAATGGCGAAATTGAAACAGTCTCTGCCGAAAAGCAAGGGCTTGAGGGATAATCTTTCATTCCCAATGAAATCAACCAAGTATCGACAATGATTGTTCTATCTTTTTTTTGTTCGTTTTTTTTTTGGTTAACTCATACTGAGAAGAAGTGTTTCACAGAGGCACTCAAAAGATGGATAGATAAACAACCCAGTCTCTCTCTCTCTCTCTCTCTCTATATATATATATATATATATATATATATAGATATATATATAGAAATAGATATATATATAAACACTAGTCCTTAGATATAAAATTGAATAATTTAAGCTTAAATATGCTTAAATGGGATTCTATAGAATGAAAACAAGATGGGACCGAGGAGAATGATTGAGATTGATTTCTAAACTCTGAAATCTTTGATACAAATATATTTTTTACTACAATTAATGAATGTATTGTAATTTTCAATAGTTTTTTGACTGCCGAGGCAGGGTGATTAAAATGTAGTTTATACACAAACAGAGGCACGTTATATATATATATATATATATATATATATATATATATATATATATATATATATATATATATATATATATATGTATATGTATGTATGTATGTATATATATATATATATATATATATATTAAAATTTATTGATACTGTTACTGAAAGCGAGAAGTCAATATGTTTCTTTTTAATTTTAGTCTGCACGCTTGTGTATGTGAAGAGGTCGTTACATGTGCTGTGAGCAATGTTTACTGTTTGGGGGAGGTGATACTGTTACGCCATCAGCGGCGGGTATTTGTGTGTTGTTGTTGCGGTTGAAGCTTTGACAATGAGAGCAGAGGGTTCAATCGAGCCATAGACAGCCTTGTCGTTTCCCTCACAGACACACACACACACGCGCACACAGACACACACAAACACAAATACGCACACACGCAAGGTCACGCGCACGCGCAAAAGAAGCGGAGTCGAAGTTGGAAATGGTGGAACACAGAATTCAATGCTTATTATTTACTACGATGAGATATTAAGACCTTCTCTTCTGAAACAATACGATCGGTCCGGCTGCTTGTTGGATGAACCTTACGAAGAGGAACTATACTAGTTCGATTGTTTAATGAATTACATAGACATCCATATTACTTTTTAATTTGTCAATGTAAGGAAGTTGGAAAAATGGTAAACAATGTTTGTTTTTTTTTCAGTAATTATTCCAAAATGATGAAATGCAGATATGGCTAATCAAACATATATTAAACTAACCATATCATGTTAAAATTAATACCGTTAATATATTGTATTACATATACAAATATTATATAAAGTTCGCATATAATATAAATATATTATATAAAGAATTATATAAATTTCGTATGCCAACAAAGCATATTAACAGTGAGATATTTTAATTTAGAAAGTTTGGGGTTAAACTTTCTATTATGGATTTTATATTGAGAACAAAAAAATCGAAGTTTCCCCAATAGTTTTATTTTTGTTATATTTAAAATAATATTCGAAAAATATTTTAGAGCGAATTCTGGTTCTGTTTTCTAGAGGGGAAGTGAAATTGCTGATATACAGTGTGAAAACGAGACCAGATAGATAGATAGATAGATAGATAGATAGATAGATAGATAGTGAAAAGTTAAGTATGTTTGAAAACAAGAGAATGAAGAATGAATCTTTAAAAACGATATATCCAGTAGTCGAATGTATGATAAAACTACAAAAAATGAGAATTACTTGAACAAAGTCTATGGGTGACAACAAACAAAACACACACGCACATATATATATATATATATATATATATATATATATATATATATATATAGATAGATAGATAGATAGATAGATAGATAGATAGATAGATAGATAGGAAAATACTGAGATAGATATGAACGAAACGAAATGGAAAGATAGGTAGAAGTGTGTGTTGGGGAGGTAGTGCTGAAGTGGCTTGTGTCAGGGGTGCAGTGGTGTACTCGTGAATGTATGTGCGAACTACTGACAGGTGAAGACCCACGCACGCGTGTGTGTGTGTACGTGCGTGACAGTGCCACTAGTGTGTGAATGTGTACATGAACATAATATATATATATATATATATATGTATATATATATATATATATATATATATATATATATATATATATTATATAAACATCTATATCTATCTATCTATCTTGCAAGCTATTTGTGTGTATGCGCGTGAATGTATAATGTGTGTGAAAGTGTATATGCAATTATGTGTCAGAATGGTCGTTGTCTGTGTATTAAAGCAAGTGAGGAGAGAAAGCGTGCATAAAACTAAATTTAAATGTATATTTTTTTTTTAGAAAAAATATATTGGCATGTGCGACGCTCACAGTGTACCTCTTTTTGTCATTTTTACTTAGATGTTTTAGAGATATGCAGAAGGAAGGGTTTATTTTCTGCAGTTGGGGGTCGTTGTTTTGGTATTATATAAATGCAAGTCAGAGATATCAGAACAAGCAGAAACGGTGGCCGTCAGTGAATGAGAATTAAAGAATTTCTTAAAACTGCGTGGAATTTACGAGCGAACGAAATGGTGAAAAGAGTGTCATGCTGCAAAACCAGAGAAGAATTCTAATGGAATTTAGACACCTGAAATAGGCAGAGAGATAGATAGATATGAACAGAATGAGATAGATAGATAGATAGATAGATAGATAGATAGATAGATAGATAGATAGATAGATAGATAGATAGAGAATTATATTGTTAGCTAGACTTGAGGCCAGATTGAGGTGGATATGAATAGACAGACAACAAATACACTTTAGATAGATAGATAGATAGATAGATAGATAAGTAATATGCGTGCTTGACTATTTCTATAGAGGACTAAACTAAGTCACTTGCATTCCTGTGTAAACCTTCGGGCAGATACAGGTGTAGTGGGAGGGTAAATACCGGAAAATGTTTTGGGAAGACTTATATAGATGCTTCTTGTTTTAGGGAGAAAGATTAAGTTAATTAAGAGGAAAAGGTTACGGCTTGCTGTCGACTGAGACGATTTTTAAAACAATGTCTAGCAGGCGTGTAGAGGAATTCGGAAAAAAAAAACAAACTCTATTGTGAATAAAATACTGACAGATATCTTAAAGCTAATGCTGAAGACAAGGAGCGTTTATACTTCACGAAACGGATGATCACAACGTCTACTGTTACTACTACAACCAATACAGTTCATACTACTACTACTACTACTACTACTAATGCGACTACTACTACAAATACTATTATTATTATTATTGATAATGTTAATTATTATTTATTGTTTGAACAAATGAATGAAATAAGGAAGGAAGGAAGAAAGAAAGTGTGATTTTAAAATGGTTTATGTAGAATGCTGGAATAATACTAATAATACTACTACTAATACTAATACTACTAATAATAACAACAAAAATAACAACAACAACAACAATGACGTATACTTTTAAATGCCGGGAGTTGAAATGGTTAAAAGCTGTATCTGTCGAATAAACCTCTCATGGAATTAGAAAAGACAGCTCGACGGACATTTGTTTATTTATTTATTTTTTGTGTTGTATGCGTTTTTCGCTTTTAAGCAAGGGCTATGACATGATTAAATGGTGATTTTAGAAGAACATTTTTTTTAAATACTTATGAACAAGTAGTAAATACTAAGAAATAAAACAAAGTAATCTATCACCAGGTCTGATAAGGGTGGATGGCAAAAATAAAGAAAATATGTCTTTCAAGAGCTTCGTGAAAAGGGAGCAATGATAAAATTTTGAAACACTTCGTTCACAATTAAACAACAATAATAATAATAATCATAACAATATTTGCATCAACAATCACAATTTATAGGTATTAACAAACTAAAAAAAAACCCAAAAAAAACAGACAAAATATCTTTAGATATGCTTGTCTATCGTGTTGAGGAATTCGGTATGTCTGATGAAGTTTATCAATATGAATTTTGGTCTTCTTTACATATCTGTGCCTAATAGATTATTAATAATAATAAGGAAAAGAAACACAAATGATTAAAAATTGCGAATGTGAACAACTTTCAGATAATAATAATAATAATAATAATAATAATAATAATAATAATAATAATAAATTTGAACTAATGCACACACACACGCGCGCGCGTGTTCGAAAAAGTCGAACGCGGGGGTCTGTAGAGGCGAAGACTACGTGCTAAAGTCAGTTAAAGACATGCAAAGTGATTTGGCCAATGCATTCGATAGACAGACAGACAGACAGATAGATAGATAGATAGATAGATAGATAGATAGATAGATACTAAAATATATTAAAGAAAATGATTTGTCTTAGAGAGGAAATACAAGAATATATGCATGTGAATGCACCGGGTGAAATATGTTTGTGAATACATCTAGGAAAAAAAAAAAAAGAAGAAATATCACTTGAAGAAATTGTTTGTGTGTATATACACTTATCACAGAGTGTATATTAAGGTATTAGAAACACTTTTCTTAACCATCGAATCCAAGCATCAATTCAGGAAATTTTTGTGTTTCGTGGGTGTAGATAAACTATGTGGCTTTTCTAGTGACTACAATGTTGTTGCATGTAATTTCATTGTATATATCACAATTGTTGATGGATTCTGAACATCATCACTTTAGCAAGAATGGAAAGTATGAAAAAAAAAAGAAGAAAAGGATGAGAAATCACAAGATTTTGAAAACAATAACAGCTAAAAACCTAAGTTAAAAAAAAAATATATTCGTTAAAACGCGGGTTCTTGAATTCTGTTTGCAGTTCACGATATTTAAAAAAAAAAAACAAAAAAAAAAACTACGACTGCCTAACTATTGAGTCAGTGTCACTATTCAAATTTTCGTCACTGTATTTACATGCTTGTCTGCATAAATACATATATACATGCATACACACACACACGCACACACACATACACACACATCTATATATATAAATCCGTATCAATCTATATCTATATATATAGTTTGTGCGTGTGCATATATATGTGCAAATGTTTTACGTATTGCTGTCTATGTACTTATTAGTGTTAGTTCATGTGTATCTTACTCCTTTTTATACTTGTTGTATGGAATAATGTGCGTTTGTAATTATATATATGTGTGTATAAATATATATATATATATATATATATGTGCATGCGTGTGTGCGTATATTAGCGTATCTGGATGTCACTTCATAACATGACGTATAAAACTGTGAGATAAATATGTTGTTATCCTAATGGTGATTTCACACACACACACACACACGCACACACACACACATATATATATATATAATTATATATGTATATACATATAATATAACTTTAAAAAAACTGGAGAATTCACACTTCTAAGCCATATCTTACGGTTAGTGTAACAATATCCAATAATTTGATGAAATATTTTTTAGATTTTTTTCTGACTTCCTTTCCGTTTAAAATATTTTCAGGCTGAATTTTAAAAAATATTTTTAATTGACTTTTCTGTAGTTAGCTGTTGGTACATATATATATATATATATGTATATATATATTCATAAATATATTATATATATAACAATTCTTTTTTTATTTTCTTTCTTTTTTATGTTGCTATAGTTGTCTCGTGTTTTTTCTTTTGCTTGAATACAATATATATTTATATAAATAAATATATATAGGTTATATATATATATATATATATGGGTTATGTATGTATGTATGTATGTATGTATGTATAAACGGCTGGTTATTCCAAACGCGAGATAGTGATATTGGTCCTGATATTCGTCGCGAGAACCAATTTAAAAAAGAAAGCTAAAAGAGAGGTTATGTTGGACTTGACGTTGAATTCGTGTCGCGTGTTGACGTCCTCTTTATTGACGTTCAGGTAGTCATGTTGGTGCTAGTGTTATGGGGTATCTCCATACCGTTTCTACCCGTGTCTCCCTGCGTGTCTCTCTGAACCGTGTTTTACGTCCAAAGCGTTGTTTCTTCTTTTCCTGTGTGCGTCTTGTTTTAAAAATATTCTTTCTTACTCTGTCTTTTTTTTTTACCTTTTTTTTTTATGTTTCCGAAATATCCTTTTCTGTGAAGATTACTTTAGTTGCAATTTTTTTTTTCTTAGATGCGTAAAAAAATCCTCTTCAGTTTTGTACTTTAATTTCCTTTCAGGCGTGTATTGTTATTTTTTTTTTTTTTAATGAAGATTTTAGCTAAACCTGTAAACAGACAAAATTGTAATGGTAATAATAATAATAATATCCCTTCGTCTGTTCTTAGCCAAATCCAAATATTATTTGATTGTAAAAAGGATGGATATTTCCATTCTTTCCTTGTTCTCCCCCCGGCGGACGTCTTCTGTTTTCTTTTTTCTTTTTTTTTTCTTTTTTTTTTTTCGTTTTTCTTCTGGCTCTTCAAAAGATGCAACAATATGTAAGTACACACACACACACACTCACACACACCCCCTTTTTTTCTTCTTCTTCTTTTTCTTTTACGGTTTCTTCCTTCCTATGTAGTTTCTCTTTCCTTTTTACTTTCCAACGCGAGAGGGAGAGAAATGAAGGCCAGTTTTGGCACACGCCGGGTTCGGGTGAGGGCGTGGTAGTAGTGGCAGCAGTGGTCCTGTAGTCCCCGCCGCCGCCACCGCCACCGCCACTGCAGTAACAGCGGCAAGATGTGGACGTTGATGCGGCTTATAGTGATGATGATGATGAAGAATCGTTTGGTATTAAATGGTATTGGAGGATGGTATGAATGCAACTATACCATTCTTGTGTACACGAATATACACACATACGATCACCACACACACGCATACGCACACGCTTATGTATACATATATATGACTTTATATATATATATATATATATATATATATATATATATATATATGTATTTATATATAATATGTGTAATGTGTAAATATCTTTATAAACGTATTTTCGTTTATTCTGTAGTGTGTGTAGGGGTAGTGTGATTATTGATAGAGATATTTAAAGAGTGGGGCGGAAGTGGGGAGGCGAGATCAACGTGGGTACTGTTGTGGGTATAGTTAATAAACGTTGTTATTGGTGGTGGTGGTTGCGATTGTGGACTTATTGTCATTGATGGCGAAGGTGGTGGAGGTTCCTGGGATGGTGATGGTGGCGGCGGTTGGGGTCGTTCGTAGGCATTCTAAAACTGATACCATTTTGAATTCACTCCCACTTCTCCTCTTCTAAACTCCAACTACAACTGCTGCTGCTGCTGCTGCTGCTACCGCCGTTTTTGCTGTTGTAATTCTCTGGTTGGAGATGTTTTACTTCTCTCCTCTGCACCACCGCGGCGGTGTAGTGGCACCGATGTGGTCGGCGGTGATGACTTTACTGACGCCTCTTTTCTTCATGGCCATAGTGATGATGACGATGATGTTGATGATGATGATGATGATGATGATGATGCAAACCGTGTTGGTGACGACGACGACGACGACGATGATAAAAGTGTTGCTGACAGTGGCAGGGACAGCGGCGGAGATGCTGGTTCGCTTTGTCGTCCTAGAGATGGCATTACTCTATGGGAGAAGAGGGGTAGGAAGAGTAGTAGTAGGAGGAGGATGGTATAGGAGAGGAACGGTAGCAGGTTTGTCTTTCATTCCGAATCAGCATGCCGGTAGTGAGGGCATGACATGTGTAGACAGAGAATAACAAAACACAATGTCATATTTTAATGTACAAGTCAATGTTTTCACGATAAAATTGATCATAACCAGACGATGTTGGGAAAATTTTCAGGATATACATCTATTTACATAAGCAATAGATCATTTGTAACGACTGGTTTTAGAGGTGTTATATTTTATTAATCAAAGTATAAGTGCTTGCTTTCATAAATAAATCCAGCATACTTAGGCCATACGAACATATTTGGTTAACAGAAAGATCCACATACCCGAATAAATTATTTTGTTGTTTTACCTGTTAGTATACAGTACGTCTTATTCTATAGTTTTCCCTCCAATGAGAACGATTCTACTATTTCGAATTTGACATTACTTACAGCTGTTTTTAATGCTTCCTCCAACTCTTTCTTGATGAAAGACACACACACACACGCGCAAACACACACACGCAAACACACACACGCAAACACACACACGCAAACACACACATATATATATATATATATATATATATATATATATATATATATATATATATATATATATAAATACCTATATACTCGTGAAGCACGTGATGTTTATTTTACATACAGATGTACTTTTTTTATTACAGTAAAAGATTATATAGTTTGGTAAACGGCCTAGCTAAGGCAGCAGTACATACGCTAATTTTATATCTTGTGTATGATGCAACTTTCTTAAAATTAGCTTCAAAATTAGGTCTTCAAAAGTCGCATGATATGCGAACATATTCCGTATATATATATATATATATATATATATATATATATTTATATGTATGTATATATATATATATATATATATATATATGATTGAATATATATATATATATATATATATATATATATATATATATATATATATATATATATATAAATATAAATATAAAAGTGAACATTGAAGTCAACACTCAGAGGCGACAGGCTGTTTCATGCTGGACGCAATCGGCGGCCTGACTATTGCGTCCAGCATGAAACAGCCTGTCGCCTCTGAGCGTTGACTTCAATGTTCACTTTTATATTTATATTTACATACGCTTTATCTCTTATATTGAGCACTTTATCCCATAAATATAGCACACATTAAAACGATATATATATATATATATATATATATATATATATATATATATATATATATATATATATATATATATATATATATAAATGTACGTATGTTTGTATGCACGTATGTATATTTCATTAAATAATATAGGCGTAATGTGTCTACTTATATTTATACTGATCTTTTCCAGTTGTCTAATCAGTCTCTTGATGTTAAGATGAAACTCATCAAGGAAGATACAGCAATTTTTGTTAACTCAAGTACTTTCAACCTTTTCCAAGATTATCTTCAGGGGTAAATTACAAAGACAAACTTATTGTAACTGCGATAAAATCTGCATTCCGTTGTGACTGTGATTAGACAAATAGAAAGGATCAGTATAAAAATAACTAGACCCGATATGTCTATCTGAATGAAGATATGCTGCCTAAACACACACACACACACACACACACACACACACACACACACACACATATATATATATATATATTCAAGCATGTTTCATTGAATAAAATAGACATATTGGGACGCGTGCGAAAGCACCATAAGTACAACGGATAAATTAAAAATGGCCAAATAATTATAACACAGCTCGTTCAAGCATTGTTTTTAAAAATCACCATCACAACGTCCACAGTTACAATAAATTTGTCTTTGTAATTCACCCGTGAGAATGATCGATGTGGAGATCGAAAGTACTTGGTTTAAAAAAAAAAAAAAAACTACGTCGCCTTCCTTGATGAATTTCAATTTAACATCAAGAAGATAATCAGAGAACAAGAAAGGATTATTATAAAAATAGACATAAAATTTCTATATTAATCAATGTTACAGGCTTGAATGAAGATATCCTTCCTAAATAAATATATATATATATATATATATATATATATATATATATATATATATATATATGTGTGTGTGTGTGTGTGTGTGTTATCAAGAAGTATTTTTCTGTATTGTGAATGAACCAGGAAGGAAAATAATAAACAAAAAATTCAAATTCTCGTGGCCCTCTATATCAAAACCGCCTAATCAACCAGCACTGAACAAAATTTATTACGAGTATAATAGCGATGTTTTAAAATGCATTTGACCATCTCTGGTTAGGTTACTTATATTGGGACGCGTTCAAAAAACAAAAAACAAAACAAAAACATCATAGGTACAACGGATAAACTAAAATAATTATAACAGAGCGCGTTCATGCGTGTTTACGAAAATCACCATCACAACGATCACCATCATAACGATCGTTGTCTTTGCAATTCATCCTTGAAGATGATCTCGAAGGAAATCGAAAGTATTTGGGTTAACAAAAAATACTGGACCTTCTTTGATGAATTTCGTCTTAACATCAATAACTTAATTAGAGAACTAGAAAAAAGATTATTATAAAATAAATAGACATATGTCTATATTATTCAATGAAATATGTCTGAATGAAGATATGCTACCTATATATATATATATATATATATATATATATATATATATATACAACAGTTCAAAAGTTTGAGGCTAGCCACAGAATTAGCATGGGATGAACTTGACAGAAAGTAAAAAAAAATGATGAAAAATTAAAATGTCTTAGAGCCATTGAGAAAAAAATGGAATCAATTATCAAACATATTTTTTGCAGTGAATGTCAAAATATTTGTGCAGTAGTAATCAAGGCTAAAGGAGGACATTTTGACAAAAGTAAAATTTAATCATAAAATGCTTTTTTCTTTTTATCATTAAAAAATTTATAATAAAACAAATCATGTCTCGCTTTTTTTTAATCATGTATAATTTTCTCTCACTTAATGTACAAAATAACTATTTTTCGGCCATTTTAGAATGAGCAGCTCTGAAAGAGTCTACCCAAAAGAAGCGTACTGGCATTAAAGTGTTCAATACCATAAGAAATGGCAAAGCTTCAATATTAATTTAAAAACAAGTTTGGCAATGACGGGCCACGACTATAAGTTTCATGTGCTTACATACAATCATCATGTTGCCTGATGAATGAATTTAAAATGATAGACCCTTATATATATATATATATATATATATATATATATATATATATATATATATATATAATATATGTGTGTGTGTGTGTGTGTGTGTGTGTACATGGGCACCAATTTTCTCGTCTATGTCCGTTTGATTAAAAAGAACAACAGTCCGACGTACTATATATAAAACTTTTCTTTTTTTTTTAAAATGAGAAAATACGGACTCGCCTTTGAATACGCGAAACGCGATGAACGAAAACACGCGAAATGAGAGATAGAAAACAAATAAAACTGACGACATACCTAGTTTTTGGAAATGGTGAGTGTTAATCAAAAGTTCTTAGACCTAGGAATATATTTTTACAAATACAGACCGGAAATAATTTCAAAAATTTGTAAATAAATTAGATAGATAATAAAAAAAATAATAGATAATGAAAATGTAAATACGACAATAATCAACATGTGTGAAAATATATAGAAAATAGGAAAGAACTCGTTAGGTAAATAATCCAAAGTTCTTTAGTATTTTTGTTATTATTTTTTTGAAAATAGTGCTCGATACAAAAGTAGATCATAAATATAATTATTTATTTAAAAATATGATTCCATCGCTACATAAGAATTCTCATAAACATGAGAACTCTTATGTAGCGATGGAATCATATTTAAAAAAAATTACAGACACACACACACACATATATATATATATATATATATATATATATATATATATATATATATATATATATATCTTAGACTTTGATCGACGCAGGCTGTTGACTCGCGCCAAACGGGGAACCTTTTACAACGTTTGAGGGTCAAGCCACTCATTTCCTATGAACCGACAGCCAGACAACCTGCACATATGATATATATATATATATATATGTGTGTGTGTGTGTGTGTGTGTGTGTGTGTTTAGGCAGCAAATTCACTTTTAGGCATGTCTGATTGAATAAATTACAGATATTATATCTGCTAAATTTTCTGTGTATTGATGTTAAAGGATGAGGGAAATATGCTATAGCTGTTTAAATTTCTTTTATTTTCATTACCCAGGTACTTTCGATCTTTTTCCAATGAATAATAATAGATAATTCTTTCACGTTCTAATAAACGCTCAGCACATTGTCAACCGTTTTGCCTTTAAAATCATATTGAAAAATTACAGCAATGGATAACAACGCACAACTTTGTGTAAATACTTGTACTAATGAACAACATATAGTTTTATACTATTTGCACTCCTGAAGATGATCTTGGAAGAGCATCGAAAGTACTTGGGTAATGAAAATTAAAGAAATTAAAAAGCTATAGCACATTTCTTTCATCCTTTAACAATACATATATACGGAATATATACGGATATATATATATTTATATATATATATATATATATATATATATATATATATATATATATTAATAAATATGCATAATGTTCCTCACTGGTAGTACAATTTGGTGTTTCATGCAGACACAATCTTCAGTTGAGACTGACCGTTACATGATTGCGTTTTTATTTAAAATCACCATGACAACGAACTGCAGATTTTATCAGAGTTACAATAAGTTTGTTGTTGTAATTCACTCCTGAGGATGATTTCAGAGAAGATCGAAAATACTTGGTTAGGAAAAACTACAGCGTCTTCATTGATGAATTTCATCTGGACATCAAGAAACAGGTTAGAAAGCTGAAAAGGATCAGTATAAAAATAAAAATAAATAAATATAATATGTCTATATTATTCAATGAAACATGTTTGAATGAAAATATGCTGCCTAAATATATATATATATATATATATATATATATATATATATATATATATATATATATATATTTGTGTGTGTGTATGTATATATTAAGAAATATAGTTTTAAGGTGTACTATATTTATCGGATAAAGTGCAAATATCAGAGATCAGCGTATGTAAATTTGGTGTTACAAGGAGTTTTGTTGGTCTCTCGCTCAAATGCACCCCACACATAATAATCAAGGGGGTTGCAGTCTGGGGAGTTAGGTGGGCAAATGTAAGGGGTGATGCGCACGGAGAGATTGCCTGACACCTATGACTTGGTTCTCCTGCTTGTGTGACATTGTGCAAAATCCTGCTGCCAGATATAGGGTCTTCCGACAGCCACCCTCTTGACCCAGGGAAGCACTACCACGTCAAGGCACTGGATGTAGTCCTCCGTGTTGAGTCTGAGGCCCTCACCAACAAATTCGGGATTTCTTTTCTTAACAGAACGATCAGTTTTCCGAACATTCGTAGCTTCGTAATCACCATTAGACTCATCCAACTCTTTCTGAAACCCCTGCATTGTCCTCAGATTGACACCCAAACATTCTGAAATGTTCATATTGAGTTTCCGGCGCGAATGCCAAGCGGTATAGCATACCGTTTCCAAATTTCTGTCGGAGCGTATTCGTCATGGTGCTTCTTTTCTGACAGATGCTGTCCAACTCACTCTACTATACTGGGCAGTCAACAAAATCAAAAATTAAACAACGCGTGGAATTAAAAATATAAAAAGGCGACAATTTACCCATCGTATCCTGTATATGTAAATAGTCACAATACCTCATATATATATATATATATATATATATATATATATATATATATATATATATATATATATATATATAGGCAGTATATCTTTATTTCCTTTCTTTTCTTAACAGAACGATCAGAGTGAGTTTTCCGAACTATCGTACGTTCGTAATCACGAAATTACGCCGGGAAGATCACTATATAATAGCTTCTGGCACTATAAAAATATCTTACCTATAATTCTTTATCTTGATCAAAAAGGAGGTTCCATTATCAGTTTTAAAGGGACATCATCCCTGTGCAAATCCTGCATTTTCGCCTATCCTGATGAATGACGTTCTTTTAGAGAGGCTCCGTTGCTCTCGGAACTTAAGATCAACCCGGACCTCAAGTGGAATTCATGCATACGATACTTTGTCAAAGACACAGGAACAAATTAATCAATCCTCTGGACCGCTTGTGTCATGAAACCTCTTCAGTGATATGAAATATAAATCCCCATCTTAATTTTTCTTTCATTTCTTTCATTCTTCCTTTCTATTTCTTAAAAATACGGCCTTGACCGCCATTGAATTGGCACAGCGGTTAAATTGTTAATTTCATATATAGCATTCAGCGATTGGGTGCGTCCCTAAACTAACTGTAAATGATCCTAGCTGCTACATCGAGAAGACGTGAACACGTTAATTTCTTTCTTTCTCCGTGGACTGGTTCTCACATACGTTTGTCTCACGATCTTCCAGAGACGGAAAGTTGAAATCTTCCGGGATAATCAGGAACTCCAGGGCCAGGATAGCCTATATCTTCTGAGAATAAAAGCAAAGCGCTTTCAGTGTGATAACCAAAACCAATAAACTACATTGAATGGTCGAAATACAACTACATATGAAAGGAAACTTCTCAACCTAGACAAAATAAGATCTATCTACTCCGAAGTATTCTTAAAAGGAAAGCAAACAAAACAATAATGATCACTGAAATCGTCGATATATTTTCTTTCCTTTCTTATATTCTTTATTTGTCGTTTCCTTCTCCCCCCCCCCACTCTATATCTTTATTACATTAAATTAAGTATAACTTGTGTTTGTTTTCGATACGTTAGGTAAGGTGGATTAAGGAATCGGAGAGCCGAGTTCGAATTACAGTTGAATCCCTTACATTCACTTACGTGCTAATACCCTTGGGAAAGGTATGAATCCTCTTCTGGTTATAAACAGGACGGCAACCTGCGGGGAAAAAAATCTGCCTCGTCAGTCATGGGTCGAAAGATACATGATCGTCTAAGCGTGTATAACTGACTGACTGTCTGTTTGTATTGGTCTCTAACTGAGTAGAAAATAATTATTATAAGCTATACTCAAGCTTAACATGGTGATCGAAAATGGAGTACTGATGCCATATATGGGGAGGGGCAGATTTATACTTTCTTGTCTTAATAGATTTCAAAAACGTATCCGTTTCCTTGTTGGTGATGAATTATTGTCCACCTTACAACCCGATTCCTATAGACGCAACCCTGCAAGCCGTTCACTTCTCTATAACTATTCCCATGGAATTGTTTTCAGACAAAATACATTCCTTAGTTCCACCTTCACGGGTAAGACCCACCATACCACAAACATTGTAAAAAACCACTCTCTTTCCCTTTGTATACCATTGGTGAGATGTAAGTTCCAATTAAGCAGTTACTTCACCAAGGAATTCGTCCTGGGTATGACGATAAACTACATCCGCGTCCAGGGTAAGACTATAAACTACGTCCAACAGCAAGGCCTCTGATCAGGAGGTTGGAGGGAGCGTGGAACCACTTCTTAATTGCTGGTGTTCCCAGGTCCACCATGGCCCAGGGTGGTAGCACCTGTTAGGGTCCCAGCTATGGCCAAATAGTTAACCCCGAAAATGATGTAAAAAGCATTATGAAAGTGCAAAATAGGTTTTAATACCAGAAATACTTTGTAAAAAATTATTAACAGAAATAAATTTTTGAAGAGAAAAAAAAAACTATTACAAGCAATACGTTTTTGAAAAAATAATATTACCAGCAATACATTTTTAAAAATAATATTACCAGTTATACATTTTTGAGGAAGAAAATATTACCAGAAATAGATTTTGACAAAACAAAATATTACCAGGAAAAAAAAGTTATTATCGGCATTAAATAAAACAAATCAAATTTTGATTTGATTTGTTTTACGGCATATTAACCTCAATGGATTATTTAATGCCGATAACTCACCAAGAACTGCTTCTTTCTGGAAGTGCCTTTCAAGAGGATGTTTCCACGATCACTACAATCTTAACTTGTTCAAGTCTAGGGTTAACCCTTATAATCCCCACATATCCCTATAGATTGTGCCTTTTACTCTATAACCCTCTACCTCGAGTGGCTCTTGGGCAGTGTACAGGGTGAAGTCTACTGTAAAAAAAATAGACAAAAGCTTTACTTTGACACCCACTCATTGTTAAATTCTGTCAGAAGTTCTGGGGTGAGGACTTATCAGTATTTAGACTCGGATTTTATATTCGGACTATTGACCTCATCTTTGTTGATGTTACCACAGCCTATCGGCCTTCTTCTGTTGTATATCGATCTGAGTAACTTACAGGGAATTCTGATCTGAACCCTCCATTTAATCGCTGGGGTCAGACTGTTCTCCTTCCATCGAGAATACCTAAGGATATAATCTAGTAAATATTTTTATTTAGTACTGTTCAGATATTGCTCACCACTGAGTGCAAGTATACACTGCCCAACTTAGGGATTGAACGCACAACGACTATTTCATCAAATTTACAAAGGAACGCTTTTATCAAGTCGGCCATTGTCTAAAATGATTTTGTCAAACAAAGGCATCAGAACCATTGAATACAATTTGGCAGTCAGTATAAAAATTCCTGACAAGAACTTAGTTTCCTTCTCCATCTTCGATTAACTCACAAGTTCTTTTTTATGGCGTTATTCTAAGCGTAATATGCGACACAAGGCCAAAAGTATGGGACACACAGTGAGGATCGAACTCACTGTTCTTGTTCCCTTTTTTTTCTTTTTATTAATTTCGTAGTTTTAAGATCTTAAATGTTTTCAACCTTTTTTTATGTTTTCGCGCTGTATGGAATCACATCACCAGCTTTTCAAATCATTCCTTGCTTGTCAATAAGTTAGTTAGATTGATCATTTTTCTCAAATAGCTATTCACGACATTCGTAAAGTCTTTTTGGTCGTGTATTGGAAATTATTTTAATTTACTTTTTCCTCGTTCACTGATATTTGCTGAACATTTTGGGCTGTTTAATACACACAAACACACAGATAACACACATACATACATACATACATACACACATATATATATATATATATGCGCTTATATGTGTGTGTAATTGCCAATTTGGGCAACAGTCCCTATTTTATAAAGGTTTCATTGAAGATGACTGGCAAGAAAGCGCAATTAAGCGTTTTATTATATTTTTCTTGCATTCCCACAAATGATTTGATTTTGGATTAAGAGTGTGTAAAATTGTGAACATGGTCAAAACGTGATGACTCTTTTCGGAATCTAAAACATCACCATTGCAATAAATGCATATATATATATATATATATATATATATATATATATATATATATATATATATATAACAAATCTACAGGTTCAATTAAAAGAGAACAAACTTGATAATTGCTAATAGACTAATGAAAGACTATGATTCACAGAACATTTGGACAATGCTTACCCATTCTATGACCAGAAAACAAATCGAATTCAAGAAAAGTATATTAAGAATATTAATAACAGCACCTAGTCAGTCCTTTTTGAATAAAAACGGTATATATATATATATATATATATATATATATATATATATATATATATATAATCGACTCTCCTGTCGCGTTCGACGTATGAGGGTCAGGCCGATAAATCCACAGGAAACCGACATCCCGACACCGGCACATGAGATTTGTTTATAGTGGTGGAGGCCTCGTGCAGGACCAGCCACACTTTTTGGAGGGACGAATACAGAAACCTGGTGCACCGAATGCATGCCACAAGGTTCCCAAACGACCCTCCGCAGGTTTTGAATTCAGAGTTGTCCTTCTCCTAGACCAGTTGCCATCCAAGGCTATAGAACCCAGTCTGTCCTGCTATTTTACCCATAGCTGGAGGGAGATGAAGAGGATACATATCTTTCTCAAGGGTATTAGCACATAAGCACGGAGGCACGGTGGAGCAGTGGATAGCGGCTTGGATTGAGGAATCGCAGAGCCGAGTTCGAATTACAGTCGAATCCATTGCATATATATATATATATATTTATATATATATATATATCAAATATGTGGTGCAGTTCAATTTATATTAAAATGAATCATTCATACAAAAAGTAAAAGTAAATTTAATGATATAAAATTGCGGAATCCCTTCGCTAACTAAATTTTAAAGGTGCATTATCCTACCAATCACTTGATGAATGTTATGATCTTTTTTTTTTTTTTTAATTTATAAGCTGTATAAAGTCTTTCTTAAATAGACAAGTACTTTCGACAGTACATTAAGTCATCTTCCCGCATTGAAATTATTTTGTTTTTGGTAAAATTCAGGTAGCATCTGAGAAGAAAAAATATAATGCGTATCGAAATACGTTTTTTTTTCTGAAATGTGTTATTGATAACGGATAAAAACTTTTGGAACGTTCAGTCGCAACGCTAAGGTTGAATTTTTTTGAAGATTTGAGAGAGTGCGTTTTATATTAATATGGCAATTTCAGAATTTTTGTTGTAGGAGTTTATCAGTCAATGTGGTATGAATTAAATAGTTCAATAAATAGAGTAATGTCTCAGTTGTTATCCTGAAAATTTGCACGTTGGATCTGTTCTATAAAATCAAATATGTGATGCAGTTCAATTTATATCACAATGAATCATTCATGCAAAAAGTAAATTAGTAAAGCACACACACACACACGCGCACACACACTTGCACACACACACACATATGTGTGTGTGTGTGTGTGTGTGTGTGTTTTGCGTTTTTGTGTGTGTGTATGTTGGAGACTCTTTTTGAAAAATTTCTGACTTGTTTTGTCGACGAACATTTCAAAAGTATTTTATATGTTTGTCATTCAGATGAATTCTCATATATATATATATATATATATATATATATATATATATATATATATATATTGTTGTAACCTAGGGAAGGTTACTGAGTAGAATAATCACACGAAGGATGGTAATGAACGATAATACTTAGATCAAGAGCAACACATATAAGATACGCCAGCGGAGCGTAGAAGTAGTCAACTGCTAGAAGTGAGTCAAGTGAATTCCACAATGAATCTCTAGCTGCAGACCAACATACAGTATTTACTACTGTATATATGTGAATGTTTGCATACTCATTATTATCCGTAGGTATACAACACACACACACACACACACACACACACACACACACACACATATATATATATATATATATATATATATATATATATATATATATATATATATATATATATGAACCTAAAGAGCCAAGCAAACCTACCTAGGTTCCTCCTATGCGTATCGTCTGCTTAGTGCATTGAGCACTTTACTTAGTTACTTTTACTTTACTCGTTTTGGTTTTTTTTCCTCTGGACTCTGAGCTTGGATTCTGGACGATTGTTTCCGCCTAAATTACATGTTCTTAGTTCTTTCTTTATTTTATTCCTTATTTTTTCCTTGGGTATTGGTTTGTTCATTTACAAGCCAAAACACCTAAGGTTTTCAAGACGAGTATAATTACTTATATTTTCATTATATATATATATATATATATATATATATATATATATATATATATATATTATGAAATGGACAAAGTCCGACAATTATTTTAAGACATTTTTATGTTTAAACATTCTTTTTATAGATACAAATATTTAAGTAAATGCTCTGTTTATCATAAACACTATTAAGCAACATTTACCGGCCTGAATGTCCGAGAAATTTTCACAGAAAATATTCGTCCTCTGACATGTATAAACATAAATATCTTAAAATAATTTTCCTTTGTTTATATTTGGATACGCTTTGAGCAGATATGAATGTACGTGAGAGATTCATGGAAGATTGTAGTTTAAAGACAATAAAATCGACCTTGCTAATCGAACGAACCTCTGTGGCCGAAGTGGTTAAAAGCACATCGAGCTAAATGACGTTTCCGTATAGGATACAGGTTCGAATCCTGTCGGAGGACGAATATTTTTCTGTGAAAATTTCTCGGACATTCAGGCCGGTAAATGTTGTTTAATACTGATTACGAAACTCTGGAGTTTGCATGCTGAAGGTAACATCAATCAACTGAGTAACATATTATTATTATATATATATATATATATATAGTCACGTGTCTGAAAAACTTTAACATAAATCAATGAAGTGTTTGGGTATTTGTCTACCGGAGAAATTGGTGTATCGTATCTTATATATACAGAAGGAGATATCTGCACCCTTGCCTATACATTCATACGTATAATAGTAATAATCTTAGCTTAGCTTGTAGCGCAAGGCCGAACTTATGTCGTACCCAATGAAGATTGAGCAAACAACTCAGTCATAATTGGCAGACGTGGAAAAAAATTTTGTTTGTATTCAGTTTTTACAATGTACTTACAGTTATTATTTTATGAGGTTCAAGACATTGGATAAATTTGTCCGTTGGAATTATTTTCTCAAGCGCTTTTGGCTTTTTCAAGGAGTTCGTTGTTGGCATAGTTTTGTGTTTTTTATATACTAAGTTGTGTTGCATATCAATAGGGTGTGTTGCATAATAGTAGTAATTAATTCCTTATTAGGATAACTTCAAAACACAACTAATGTCGCACAGTGGTTTGTCCCTATGAGGTGCCATGCGAGATACACGCTTAGGCAGATTTCTTCCGGCAGCAGATAGACCATTTCACATCCAAGGTCTGTCCTGCTAATTGCCCATAACAAGGGACAGAAGAAGAGGATTCATACCTCCCCAAAAGTTATTAGCACGTAAGTTAATGGAATGGAATCGAACTCTGCTATCTGAATCCTCAATCTGAGCCGCTATCCATTATTCCACCTTGCATCCTTATATATATAATAAATGTATATCCTTATATATATATATATGTATAAATGAAAGATTTATACCCAATTGTATATCTATCTATCTATCTATCTATCTCAGTCTGTTCATATCTATCTGTCTCAGTTTACTTAATCTATCTATCTATCTATCTATCTATCTATCTATCTATCTATCTATCTAATCTCCTCTCTCTCCATATATATATATATATATATATATATATATATATATATATGTATGTATAAATGAAAGATTTGTACCCAATTTTATATCTATCTATCTATCTATCTATCTATCTATCTGTCTGTCTGTCTGTCTCAGTCTGCTTTATACCTATATCTGTCTCAGTTTGTTTAATCTATATCTATCTATCTATCTATCTATCTATCTCAGTCTGTTCATATCTATCTGTCTCAGTTTGTTTATATCTATCTATCTATCTATCGACATCTATCTATCTATCTATCTATCTATCTATCGGTCTCTATCCCTCTATCTATCTATCTATCTATCCAAATCTCCTCCTCTCTCTCTCTCTATATATATATATATATATATATATATATATATATATATATATATATATATATATGAAAGATTTGTACCCAATTGTATAGCTATCTATCTATCTATCTATCTATCTATCTATCTATCTATCTGTCTCAGTTTGTTTATATCTATCTATCTATCTAATCTCTCTCTCCCCCTCTCTCTCCATCTCTCTCTCTCCCCTCTCTCTCATCTCTCTCTCTATATATATATATATATATATATATATATAAAAGAGTTGTGATACAGCGAAACAGTCTGTGGATGACAACATATATATATATATATGTATAAATGAAAAATAATACAAAGAATAAATATTTGGCATTTTTTCGCATCTTCATATGATAACGTTTTTACGTACATACCGTTTGTTTTAGATAAACATACGTTAGATTCGTTCAGAAGGTATTGAGCAAAGGTTGGTGATGTAATATTATGTTTTTGCTGTATGTTTATAGTTGCTAATATTGTTATTAGTAGGTCCTCGAAGTACTTTCTTCGTAAAGAATTATGTATTTTTTTAAATTAGGGTGGTATTTGGAAAATCAAAGTTATGTCCAACAAGCATAATGTTTCTTGAAGATTACTACTACTACACAAACATACAAACACACATTCAAACACGCACGCACGTACTTACGAATATACATTATCGTCTGAATCCCACATAGACAAATTAGAATTGTGGACTCACCACAAACTCGCTTTCACGACGCTTGACTGTACATTTGAATGATAACTCTAACATTTTTAGGCATTTAAAACAACATGCCGCATACACAATTCCGGAAAATCCTGGTTGACAACACAACTATACTTAAACATGAAAACAATAAACAAAAACTAAAAATTCTTGAAACTATATGCAGTTGAAACCTAACCTGAACAAAATAAACTATGAAATCTCCACAAATATTCTTAAATGTCTATAATTGATAACAGAAGCCATTGGTTTATACCAACGGCTTCCCATACTTAATTCTTCTCGTTTTTACTCTCGCGTGGTCATGTGTAATGTCATGAGCTGCGGTGCGATTTTCGCGTCCAGCGTCTCGTATGCACGAATTTTCGTTGCTTGGAAATCTTACATATAAACAAAAAAAGACTATCATTATTATTTTTTCCGTGTATTGGTTAATATATTGTAATGTAATTGTCATATTTGATAATCGCTTATATAAGCCGAAAGCTTCGGTAGGATTAAAAAATATGTATCAATATGGTGATTTTCTTTCGTCTTTCAATGATAATGTTAATAAGCTTATCAGACGATATGAAATGAATTTGCTTAAAATAAATTTACAAAACTTGTCTGTATTATTTAATGAAACATGCATCAAATATATATATATATATATATATATATATATATATATATATATATATTGGAGTATGTTTTCATTAAGACATTTCTTATTAAAATAATTTTCATAAGTTTCATCATTTATATTATATAGGATCCTCTCGTAATTACAAACTTTCTCAGTACGCTTATTAAAGGAAGTGTGGCACCATGCATCCAGGCAGAGAAAGAAAGGCAGAAAGGGAAACGAAAGAAAAGAAGAAAGCAAGGGAAAAGTGAGGCGAGATCCGAATCATAGATGATAAGCGAACACACACACACGGCTAAGAGGCAATAAAACAAAAAAGGGGTTATTTTGATAAGTGGCAAATGGCGAAAGAGTGTCATTACAATGACAATGAGATTTGAGTGGGTAGGGAAGTGTTATCTAAGGATATGAAAACAAACTATTGGTACGGGAAGGCATCGGCCCAGAAAAAATTCAAGTGAAAATGTTATTTCGATAAGTGACGACAAGAAACAGGCGACTAAAAAAGACTTTGGACAGATATGAAAATTAAAGGCCACCTACGAGTAATCGTTGACCGATTTTCCTACTTGGCCTGCGCGAATGGAATTGTGTTATCAAGAAAAGTTTGCCAAAGAAAGTCCACTTGAAAACGTTAATTTTGGTAATTGACAAAACACAGTTGTAGCTACAGAGCCTTAGTTAGATATGGAAAATTAAAATCCCACACAAGCAGTCTCGCTAGCTAAATTCTTTTCAACAAAACAACGTTGCCCTGCGATAATAAAATTTTGTTATCAGACACATGAACCGAAGGAAAATGAATAGAACCAGAAATGTTTTTCTTTCTTCATTGGAGACGTCAGACTGACTGAAAACTTGGAGATAATTCTTTTTGAGGCCATGTCGGGAAAACCAACTATCTTGAGGAATTAACGATAAACTACCTGACAAATGCCAAGTGTTGAACAAAGAGTTGTCATATTATCCGTTCATGATAACGGCGATTTGAAAGGAAGAAAAAGGAAAGAGAAGAGATAATTAATTTTTCTTTTTTTAGTTAAGCAAGGTATTTTTTTTTCCGAAACAAAGCCGCGGATTGTTCACGCCCGACTAAGACGTCATTGGTCAAGTGGTGATCACGTGACGCACGAAGGAGGAGGAAAGATACTCGACCAAGACCTCAGTGGCCGAGAGTGATCACGTGACGCACGAAGAAGGCTGTCGACGCCCCCATGCAGAGTATAAGTATGAGAAGCTGCTACGAAGAAGTGGGAGGGCAGTTCACGCCCCTCAGAAGTATGGTGAGAAAGTGGGAGTAAAAAAGTTACCCAAAAATGGAAAAGAGTGGAAAATCCCTAACCAGAAATAAAAGAGGTGGATATGTATTTAGAATTATCGAGGAACTCCCCTGACGCCAACAGACCCAACCCGGTTTTTTTGTCAAAAAAAGCCAGGCCCCAACAGGCAGAAATCAGTTCGGCCCTGGCGGCAGAGATGAGAGATCAAGATAGCTGACCAAGATTCACGCAAAATTTCGAACTCCTCTTCAACCAAGAACAATTATTTTGAAAGCGACTTAGAACCAGACCAACGAAATAAGTTTTTTCGACTTTCGTCCAAAACACACCGAAACACAAATTTCTTAGAGAGCAAACAACTTGAAGCGTTAAAACTTGCCTAGCGAAACGACGTGTCACAATCCACAGAACGGGTCGGGAGATAGATGCAGTCCTATGTATCGAAAACAACCAGACATAAAGTTTGTTACCTTTTTCTTTGATACTTTGAACTTTTTGAGTTTTCATTTTATTTTATTTTATGCATATTTGTGTGTTATCACTCCCGTTGAACTCAATTTGCATTACGGCTCCAACCACTGTTTGATCTCGTCTGTCTAAGATCAATTCACAACGTGGATAGGCAGACTGGAGATCAGTGCAGTTACCTTGGTAACCAGGCATTGGCAGCGAGTTGGGAACGGCGAGGTTGATATCAAATCTAACCAGATTCCCACCCGAATCACCAAAAGGTTAGAACGTCACATTTGGGTGCCGCGACCGATACCAAGCCAGTTGGTCGTCACAGGACGAGACAACACGACTGACGCGACAGGCTGACGTCACGTTTGGAGCAGCGACACCCGGACGGAGCAGCGAGGAGCGAACAGCTGGCACCGCGGCGAAGACGTCACAATTGGTGCTGTTTAGAGACGTCACAACTGGTGTCGTGACCGGGATAGGACCCTGGAACGGCCACGTCACAACTGGCGCCGTGGTAGATCAGGATAGAACGTCACAGTTGGCGCTGCGACCGGGGGACGACGTCACAAAGAAAGAATATTACCATGTGGCTGCATATTTATGTTTCTTTTTCCTTTTTTCTTTGACGTTTGTCGTGTGTTTACATCATAAAATTTTTAAATCTTACATAATTTTAGCGATTTCATTTTACAATTAAAAATGTATTTTTCAGATGAAAACAAACATTTTGTGTTACAAAAACAATGAACACAACAGAGTTGTTTTAGAAAAAACAAGACCTTTATGATTACATTGTGCTAATGTCGAAATTACACGGAATAAAGTGAACATTTAATCAACATGGTAATTTTCTTTCTTCCTTTAAAAAGGATACTAAGAAACTTGTTTGTAATTACAAGAGGATCCTATTAAAAATAAATAGACGAAACTTGTCCAAATTATTTAATGAGACATGTCTTAATTAATGGTGGGGCGTAAGGAACGTATTTGTAAGCTGTCACAATTACTGCTGATGATGTAAGACTTTCCTAGCGATTCAGTTCTCCGAGTTACCGGTGTGTTTATGAAAATAATAAATACGAAAAAAAAATCGTCTTTCTTTCTGCCGGGTTAGAATCTCTCTGTCTAGGGATTAGAATTTCCGACTGATACCAATTCGGTCAGGTTTCGGTTCCGGCCTGGGGCAATCGAATGTCTAGCCACACTGATGCTGCCTAAATACACACAATTTAAATTAGAATTATTATACACTTACATAAATCAAGTAGTATTTAGAGTTTTTTTTTTTACTTGGGCTTGACATCCGTTAATTTGTTGGATCTTCGAATGGAAGCGTCATCTCTAGTCGAATTAGAAACGCCACAGATTATACAAATGTCTATTTAACAAGTTGAATGCACATTAAACCTGGTTAACCAAAGAAGATCAAACACAAAAGTAAAAATATGAGAATTTCTTTCTTGTTTTTAGGTTTCCACGTGTATTCAAAAAAAAAAAAAAAATACGTGTATCTATAAAAATCAAATGCATGGTAACTTCAAGACGAATCTTCACTT